GTTCATGTTCAACCCGAACCCGACCCGAACCCAACCCGAAGTTTTTCGGGTCAAAATTTTCTAACCCGAACCCGACCAGACCCGAAAATTCGGGTCGGGTTTCGGGTTGACCCGACCCGATTAGGAGCACTAATGATTACGATAAAAAAATTATTGGACCATTTAGAACAGTTTCGGAAATTTTCGCATATATTTATTTATTGTAACTTTTGGAGGTTTTTTTAAAATGGAAAACAAATCTTTTAAGGCCGGATTTAGTAGTGTTATCTATCAGTGCAGTCCAATCACTAATAACTCTGCATTTTAGTATTGACAGATAATCATTAGCACCTAAAAATTTCATAATTGAACTGTTAAAATTTTAAAAATTGCTTCTTCCATTAATCAATACTAAGTTATAGTATTAGAAGACAGAGAGAAATTATCCCTGAATACATACAATAATTGTCACGGCTGATGCTGAAATTTTAAATACTTTAATATAAATTTACAAAAATTTTGGGGTGCATTTTCTAGAATTTTTGTTTTTTTATAGTTAGATTAGAATTTAGGGGAATTGATATTAAAGAGTATATGTGAATTTTAGCAGTGCTTATATTTTCAAATCACGACCCTAAATTTCAGCATCAGCCGTGATAATAATTATTTTACGTGATGATAAATTAAAGGGTCATCATTTTAATACAATTGAGTAAAAAAGATAGTATTGTTCTTATATATAAATTATTCTACGCTAATCTTGAATAAGCTTAGCCTGAGGCTACTTTTAATTAATAAGATAACATGAGACTGTTCTTTTGTTTTCTATATTTTATTAACTACACAATTTTCTAGAAAATCAAGGGCTTACTAATTGAACTCTTCATAATATCAATATAAGTATCAATAAATATATATAAATGCTTTATTTTCTTGCTTTTTACTTTTCTTTATCATAACTAGAATTTCTTTTACACATTTTTTACTTTCACGTTCTTGGGACCCTAAATGTGAATGAGCCCAGAAGGGAAGATAATATAAGAAATACTAATATGGATCGCGTAAATCGAGTGCAGAATCTAGTCGCTCAGATCCAAACACAAGCGGCTTTACAAAGAATTTTTAATCCAAATTTAAATTTATTTGCTCGAAACTTAAAACGTGCAAATAGTAAAAAACATATCGTTGCATATAATTTATTAAGAATGATTATTAACGATGAGGGTCTTCTGATAAATGAAACTGACTGTAGGGTTATCAGTCAATCGGCAAATATGATATGGAATAGTTTTACTCCGGCTGAAAAAAACATTTTTAAAATTTACGCAGCTCAAATTCGAACTATGGTCGGGGTTAGAAATTAAACTTCTAGAAATTAAACTTTCTAATCTTTCGTGGCAAAATCTTTCGTTGGAAAAACTTTCGTGAACAAAAAAAACTTTAATTAGCAAATCTTTCATGAACAAAAAAAAAACTTTAGTTGGCAAATTTGAAAAAACTTTTCATTGTTTTAGAATACTTTACTTTTTATGAATAATATTTGGCAAATTTAATATGACAAGTATTTATAGAATATATAAGATTCTTATATTAAAATATGTAATATTAATTATTAATTGCTTTTAATGTAAAATTTTTTAAAAATTAATAAGGACTAAAAATTTCAAACCCGCTCAATGAAAATTATTTGTTATTCTAAGTATTCATTCAGGATCTAATTTGAATATTTAAATAAAAATTTAACCATAAAGTCATTATAAACTATATAATAATATTTATGTAAATCTATTTTCTTGTTAAGGTTAAGCATTAAAGTGTTACAAGAACTAGGGCTACAAATTTAAAATAATTTCTTATTTAAGCAATATCAACCAATCAGTTCTCGTCTTAATAAATTTCCCAGTTGCGCTTAAAAAATTTGAAGCAAATAAAATATTTATTAAAACTAAACGAAATGTTGAAGATTATGCATTATGAAATTAGTTGTTTTTCCTTATTGACAATGAAATAACGGAATTTTTTTGATTTGATCTTATTAAAAAGAATTAACCCGAATTAGATTTCCGGATTTCTTTAGCCGAATTCACTATTATATCTATGTTAAACAAAGAAAAGAAAAACTTGACAAGGTAGTATAATATTAACTTCACCATTTTAATGAGATTGAATATTGAAAAACTTGAATTATATTTATTCATTTTGAAGTTTCGTGGATCTATAAGAGCGTCATTTTTTAAAATATTTCTTCACACCAAGTTCTTTTTAATAAACAAAGTTAAATTCCCACGCAAAGCCCTGCAAATCTAAGATATTATATTCTTAATTCCAGGTTATTATAATCCTTATAAGTTTTAAACAATATTAATATTATCTATTGTTGATATTTATTTACGGAAAAGGTTATATACATTGACTCCGATTCAACGCATAGTATGTCCATATAAAGTTTAATAAAGACATCACATGGCTTTTGAAATCGAATTTTCTGCATAATCGATCTTAAATCTATAGATGAGATTTTGTTTTATTTTTTATCACCTTAGTTCTCCAAATAGCTTCGGTCTAATTTTTATTTTGTTCGTTGATTTTTTACTATTACCATTAGTAGAATTACTAGTCATCCTAATTGATGTAGTTTGAATACCTAAATTTTTATTGTATGCTATAAAGTTAATAAGTAATTACAAAAATGATCTTGAGCCTTAAATTATTTGACCAAACAAAACAACCACATAATTTTGTATCAACAAATGAAATTGGCTTATATAATGAATTTGAGCTTACAGTTCCTCTACCGATAAGCAGTGACGTAAATTGGGTTCGCGCAGTAGGCGCAGCGTACATAAATTTAAATTTGCGCGTATATCAGCACTCCCTGTATATATAGCGCGCATATAAAATTTTTTTTTTGTGTACATTTTTTTGCATTTGCGCGAATAAAAATTTTTTGAATTTATAACACTGCCGATAAGCCGAAAATATTGATGTTAATTCTGAAAACTCGATTAAAATTTCTAGACACATTTCGATCTAAAAGTTAATTTATCATAATAGATTACTCATTTTATTAGCTCACTTTAATTTTTCTCTCCCTTCTTAAAAAGTGATGTCACCGATGATTTAATTATAACTTAATCCGGTTTTCGGTTTTCTTTAGAAGTTGCGACATTCTCTTTCTGTTTAGAAAAATGAAAATACCTTGTTAATAATATAATGAGGGTAAATTGTTTATTGTTGTATTACGTTACCCATAATTTATACTCTATATAATTCCGGATATACTAAACATATATACTCAATATACTGTATTCTTTTCTAATAAGGCTTTTCTATTAAGTCCGATTTCTAGATAAAAAAAAAAAAGAATAACGAATAAAATCAATAAATCTTCAAACTGTTCTTGTGACCTGATTATGCAATTACGTGATTTCAAGTATAAATTAGGATAAACGAACAGTTTTACTAAATTGAGTTCCTTTTTCTTCCAATGAAGTCAAACAGGCACAAAATTAATAATCTCAAGATACGGAACATTATTATTATGTATCACTGATTCTTATCGGATTTAATTAACAATCTTATAATGAATTCTTATTGTATCGAAGCACCATAGAAATATCTATTTATGATAATTAACTCCGGAATGAATATATGCTACGAAGATTATTTGAGATCTCAATAGATTTGTATGCCGAATATAGTGTACATTAAAAAATTAATAAGTATATAATATTGATCATGCATCGTAATATCAACGCATGATTTCAATATTAATGTCATCCGGAAATTCATGATCATGATTTTCAAGTCGTTATTGATTGGCAGAGTTTTAATTTGAATAAGCATAATTACGACATAACATACAAAAAAATAACAAAAAGAAATAAATGTAGTTTTTCAGATAAGTTTTAATATTTCTAATTAAATTAGTAAGTTTTAATTTTTCTAACTAGATAGCAACTAATTAGAGAAGCTAATAATAGAGAATACTTTGTGTAATATCAAACAGTTACTATATTTTGTCAAAGTTAGTAGAGTGTTTTTGCAAAACTTAATAAAGAAGATTTTTGGTAATTTGCAATTATGAAAAAGGTAACAATTAAAGATATATGAAGATATCAATAAATGTTTATTTTAAAGTATCAGAAAGGTATTTTATTTGTGAAAGAGTATGAAAACTCAATAATAAAATTAAGGTTCATATATATTATTTTTATACTTTGCAAAAAATTAGAAATATAATAGGTTATATATATTATATGAGTTATATATGTTATAACTATCATTAATAAAATATAACTAATACATATATGAAATATATATATATATATATATTTTTTTTTTTTTAATATTAAGGTAAGGTTTTGTCTTTATCTTTATTAGAATTTGTATAAGATTCCACATAGAGTTTCTCAAAATTTACAAATTTGTTTAGAAGAATTAAAACTCAGACTATAAATAGTAAATGATTATAAACAGTAAACTATCTAATTTATCTGCAATTTAAACCTACTAGAGTAGTTAAAAACTTATCTAGATTTGAATATTTATGATTATATTAGATAGGTAACTATATCTGACCTATAAAGTAAACCAAATTTCAATTTTGTGTTTTGTTAGTCTAAGTGGAGAGTATGAGTTATTATTGTGATGTAGTTAGTCAGGTTGGCAATATAGATACAAACCTTAGGCCTCTGGTCTATAAGAGGCTACTACTAGCCTATATTTTTTGAGTATAAATTTATCTTGTTGTTCTATAATATTTGTTTTATTAATTCCTAATATATCTATATTGTTTTTTATTTTTTTATTTTAAGGTAGCTTACATTGCTGAGCAGATTTTATTAGCTTGATATATGAGGTTTTACATAGAGTCCTCCTACAGATTGTAATTATATAAAGAGTATATAACAAGCTATATATACAATTTTAGTTATTATCTATTTTAAGTAGTCTACTGCATAGATAATAGACTATCTGATTAGTTCTATACTATGCTACTATATTTGTAACCTACTTGTGAGTTACTTATTTAAATACTCTGTTCAACTAACTTATACTATTACAAACTAACATTACTATAACACCTAAATGCTTAAGCTAGCTAGCTCATTACAGATCTATTTACTGACTTCAACTTAGGTCTTCTTAGAATGCATATTGCTCAACATATTGTGAGCATATAGAGCTCTAGTTAACTTTGAAGTATACCTACTAGAGCAGCTTATACTATTTCATAAACTCACCTAGCTTAGACTCTGTAGATGTTTATACAACCCTAGTTTCTATTGTAGCTCTTCACTAGTTTTCTGTTTGCTAATCTTTTCAGATATTTTACAAAATAGATCTTCCTAATTCAGTAAGCTGCTAAGCCAAGTTAGTGTTGCTGATCTTCTTTATGAAACAGACTTACTTGCATCTTACTTAATCTATATTTTCAGAGTGATAGTTTTTTTTCTGAATTAAGTATTACCTAGTGTGATTGTTAAAAGTTATACTACTTTACCAACTCAGAATTTCTACTATACAGGTCTCCTGCTTATAGATTCTATCAAGATTTATTCATGTAATATTATGTCTCTTCAAATGCCTTATCAAACTTTTAATATACAAATGATATTAGTGCAATGTGATTTACAAGGTTACAACTCCAGAAATAAACAGGATTTACTGTAAGTTGAGTACAAAGGTCTAGGTAATTATTCAAATTTATTGACAATAAGATTTGAACCTCAAACCTTTTGCATAGTAGACTGATAATCTAACTACTACACTAAGTTCACTAGACTACCTATATTGTTTTCTGATACCTATTTTATAACTAATTCTAATTTATGACTATTAGCTTTAAATCCATTGATATTATATATAACTATATTTATTGTTTTAATGTCAGATTTGGTTTGGTTATTAACTAAATTTTTTCTATGCTATTAAACAAGTTTTCTTTCTTGTTTATACTAGAATTTCTTTGATTTAACTAGTATGAAAATTAGGAGTGATTTGCTCTTACTCTTCTTATATTAGCAAGTTTCTCTTCTAGATTTTGTAATTGTTTAGTTATATATTTTAGTAAAGATCTTTGATCTTTCTATTAGTCTAAAATTTTGGATTTTGAATTTAAATTTCTTCTACTTCTTTTTAGATAAAAATGATTTTCTAGTATGTTATTCAACTCTTTTTTGCTATTACTCATTTTATTCTTGAGTTAATCTTTCCAATTCTATATCTTTTTGATACTTTTTTATCTAATATACTCTTTGTCTCATATTTATTACTATCTTAGTTTTTCTCATTAAATTGTATGAACTTAGAGCATTCTGCTTTAAAATTAAAGTCTGCTTCTTTTCTTTTTCTCAGACTT